GAAGAACAAAAACTTGATGCCACTATTAAGACAGTTTCGCTTCTCTTTTTCCACTGATTACACTGTTTCAGATTGTTGTTGTCAGTCTACTTTGATACAGTAAACTTTTTAAAAACTTTTAAATTTTCCAATAAAATATTTGGTTGTAGACAACATCTTCAACTTTTCCTTCAAATTTTTTGAATGTAAAAAAGTGTTAGTAAAGCAATGGCAATCAACAAAAAAAAAAAAAAGAAAAGAAAATGCAAATGGTTGAGTGAATAAAAAATAAATTATAATTTTCTGTCCGACCACCTTTAACCTTTTCACCACAAATTTTTCACCCAATTCCCTATGCAACCAACACTCAGATATATCTGCAAAAACAAATTAAACAAACGGAAAACAACTAGTAAAAATATGGGCTAAGAAAGACAAAAAGATACTAAAAGTAGGTTGCTTTTAAAGTCCACTGTCAACTTTCTTTTTTTTTTTTCTAAACTATTAACTGGGCAACTGTTTCGTAGTTGATCTGATAAAGCATAAAACTAAAGCTAGCAATGAAAAATGAATATCGCAAATAAATCTTCATCAATTTGGTTACAGTCTAGTCGTTTTTGTTGCTTAACTTGCTTTTTCCACCATTTTCATTTTGCTCTGTCACTCTTTTTTTTATCACAACAAAAACTCACCATTATGTACAGTACTTGACCAGTTTTCTGCAGCAAAAACAACTACATTATGACAATTGAAATTGATAATTGTCAAAACAAAAGAAATGTTTTTACAAAAATTTTATTTTTAATTGATTAGTCAAAGACCAAAAATAAAGAACAACAAAATGTGATGAATCAACTGTTGCCTGAATGTGATGTCCCACTGCAGTTGTAAACAAGTGAAATTCATCTAGAAAGCACGAAGAACAATATTCCTTGTTTCATTCAAATTAATAGTCAAACCGAACTATTACCCAATCACTAACAATTTTGTCTCAGAAAATAATTTAGGAAATTACAATCAACGTTATACTTGAAACTAGTTTTGTTTCAGCTAATTTTTACTTGATCGGTTTTCCAACTATTAACGGTACACAAGAGTGCTAGCAAATAATCTATATAACTTCCACCATTATGTTAGCTTCCAAAAAAAAACTTCCACACATTTTATAATAAAAAATTTGCACTGAAAACTATCCATCAATGTTTTTTCAATTTTATTCTTTCGTTTTCTTTTCAAAATTTACCATGTAAAAAAAAAAAAACCGCAGAACTTCAACTTCTGAAGGTAAACTAGATTTTTAATAAATTTTGCAGTGTTTCGCCAACTACACTGACAATCTATCGGCTTAAAAATTTTTCTACAACCAAGTTCGATCAAGTTGTTGCTATCAGTAGTAAATGACGATCAACTTTAGTCCCCTAATCTTTTTGTCGCAACAGCCATTCAAAATATTATTTGAAACATGTCCCACTAACTTCCCCAAACTCCTGTCAGCAATCACTATTAGCAAATAAATTATTCTGCAACTGTAAGAGACAACAATACAAAAATTCAAAATCTAAAAATAAAGCAGACTTTTATTTAAATGATATCCAGATGTTCAAATTTAATGGTAAGACATAAGCTTACTACCCACATAAGAACACATTCTCCAGGGAACAAGGGTTATCAAAAACAGTGTTTCCGATATTAGCAAATGAGGTGAAAACAATTTTGATGTGTTGTAAACTCGAAGCATCAAAGCAAGAAAGTCTATCCTGCGTAGAAGAAAAATTATTGGAATCATCCCCACCGTGACAAATGCTCAAGTTTTACATAGCTCAGAAGCCTGAAAGTGCATCAGATATTATCAAGATCTCTATTCCTGGCAAGCCTACTCTGCTGTACTAGTAACCATACATATTTCTTTTGCTTGTCTATTTTGCAGAAAACACCAAAGCTTCTTTTGACTGCTCTCTAAAGATCCACGAAAACTAACCGCAAAAATTTATCTCCACTGAACCAATGTATAATATGAGCGTTGCCAAAACCCTTCACCGTAACCGCCTAACGAAAAAAATTGAACTCACTTTGTCAGTTAGTCCATAATAAGTGTACAAATACTACAACACTTGGAACTCATTCTGCAAAATAATTTCAGCACAACCTCATTACAAATATGCAACCTGATCAAAACACTTCGCTGATCCTCAAATTAAACAATGAATACTCCCTGCTCCATTCGCGACTGTAAATGTAACTACTTATTGAGGTATTCTAATCAGTGCTAAATCAGAATTTCTTCTTTAGAAATACACATAAATTCTTTCAACCAACTATGTTCCTTCATAACAAAACACCTACATGAAAGACTGCCCAAAAAGGTGATTGGCACAGTACTCTCCAATATACTAAATCCAAAAGAATTTTTTGAGCGAACTGATCCCCCTCCATCACTGTTAAACGACTTCCAGTAGATTTTAAACGACCGCCTTTAGAGCTTGAGCCCCAATAAAACCAAAATACTATAGATTCGTCCTCGCACTTTTGCAAACAGTAAACTAAAGTAGATACTGAATCTTCTTGCCCCTCCAAAAAAACTTAAAATACTTGCAACACAAGTAAAGTTGCTCTCAGATATAGTGTACCAACACTTCATTAAGATCAAAAAAACAGTAAAAATTTAAAAACACTTATTGAATGCTAAATTGCACAAAATAAGTCACGTTAAGAAAACGAAAGAGGCACAGTACAACCAATTAATTCAACAAATCACACCAAATAAATTAATTTTCACGACCATAAAAAAATTGCCTTCTTTAAGCTATTTTTCAACAAACCTCTGATAACTCTAACAAATTAAAGCAATAACAAAACCTAAAAACGACCATTATAACATACAAAATGCGTATGACAAGAAAAACAGTAATTCTATTCTTTAAAGACCCGGTCCTTATCCTGGTATACTGACCAATAGTACGAGTGTAGAGGAATTAATACCAATTGCTGCCAAAAGATTAAATAAGCAGAAAGACAAGAATGCTCAACAATACAATGTTTCTTTTTGTTTCACAGATATTCAGAACAGCTCCTCCTATTTTATGTCTCTCAATAGACAATAGATCTTTAAAATTAATTACACGAAAAAAAAGAAAAAAAATGAAAACAGAACATGCAAACAACTAAAACAAAAGAACGAACACTCAAAAGACTGAGATATGATGTAACCAGCG